CGTCCATGAAACAACTTGAAGCTGCCGCCGGCGACCTATCGAGGGACGCAGTCGTCCCTGCCAAAGCGGTGCTGAAGATCACTAGCATGACGGTATACATCCATCTACGTGTATCCTCACTGAGTCGTACGTGATCTCCGTATCTGCAGGACGCGTTCCGCGTCGAGTTGGCCGACCACAGGCCCGCAGTCGTGAAGCAAACGTGTGGCCTGCTGGGCGCGCTAGCATGGGCGTGCGGCGCGTCGTTTACGTGCGTCGTGGAAGCGCTGCTTGTCCCGATCTTGTTGATGGCGATCAAGAAGAAGCAGACGAAAGTGATCGCAACGGCCGCGCGCCATTGTCTGGATTGCATGGCCAAAGCCAGCCGGTTCGCCATCGTCATATTGGAGAAGACGTATCACCACGCCAAGCAAGGTGCGACTGCTACTGCTAGTACTACTAGGTCCATTGACACCGGTGGTGCACTTTACCCTTCCACGTACCTAAGCTCACCTGACTAGACGATGCCTTGCGCATGATGTGCTTGTCGCTGGTGGAGCTGGTGCTTCGTCATGGGGATGTCGACAATGTCATGAGCCGTGAGGTGTACATTCCGCCCCGTCGACGCATTCTCAAGACTTTGCGAGACCACAATGTTGCAGTACAAACCCACGGCCGGATGGCGCTCTGTCTGTTATGCGAATACGGGTATGGCGGCAACTATTCGGAACATTCTTGGAGCCATAGATAGTTATCTTATCATCGAAGGATAGCTAATCTGACAGTGTAAATGTATGGCAACGTTGTAGGCAGGAATGCATTGCCGAGCTACGGCATGTAGTGGACACGGATCTGTTGGAGCTGGCCATGGCCGAGTACCCAGAGTCCCTCTTGGCTACAACAGGTCGACAGCCTGAAGAGGTGGCAACTGAAGCGAGTATGTTGTGCGTCATCCCTGAGGGTGACGAAGGCGACGTCGCCAACGCCTGGGATGATTTGTCGACGGTGCTCATTGGGGACTCATCCCCCCCTCGAAGCGGCGACCAGCTGGACTGGAGCGTGTCGAGACTATTGAAGATGAAGACAACGGCGCAGACGAAAATTGGCGTGAGTCGGCGATGGCTGCCGTGGCCAACAAACTCGACGACAGCTGGGATGACTTGTCGACGGTGCTCATTACAGAGTTGTCGCCCCCTCAAAGCGGCGACCAGCTGGACTGGAGTGAGTCTATGATTGAAGTCGATGCCCATGATGACGGTGCTGACGACGATTGGCGTGAGCCGGCGGTGGCTGCCGTGGCCACCCAATTCGACAACAGCTGGGATGATTTGGCGTTGTCATCGACCTCATCGGTGATTGATGTGCCAACGCTTGACTCGACCCGGGGCCGGTCCATTCTGAACTCGATAGACGGTTTGTCGTCTATAATTGACAACGTCATAGCGACAGAGACTCGCCGCCAAGCAAGATCCATCCTGCGATGGTCCAACCTCTTTCGGCAGCATTGGCGATCACCGGCCCTCCAGCACACAGCCTTCCGCTGCCCAAGTTTTGTGTTCCCTCATCTATCAACCGAACCATAGTACCCACAGAGAACGAAAGGAAGGCCGTAATCTCCCCGGATCAGTCGGTTGCTACCAACAACGCTACTGCTCCTGCTGATCACATCGATGGCGCACGTCCGTCCGTCCAAGTCGGGCGCCGCCGCTCGTATCTCAGCCTTGTGTGGGAGACCATGTGGCGCATCCTATGGGTCGGCTACGTAATGTTTGCAGTACGTTTCCACTTCTATCTTTCCACCAAGCATCATTGTGCCCTTTCGTAGGTTGTTGGCGTGAACGATGCAGTACGAGCGTCATCACTCCAAGATGCACCAAGGTGCAATTGGGAGCCCACTGCGACCAATCGGCTGGTAAATCCGGTCAGCAACTGGAGGCCTTGACCAAGACAGTTGTCGAATGGACGGCTGCGATGAACGTGCCAAAGCATCAGGTTCAACTCCCATTTGAGGAGTCCCACAAGGTTTCGTGGGACACTGTCATGGAGGACTTGCGCCGTCGACTCGAATTGGAGCCCATGGCACGCCATGGTAGTTAGTACATAATTTAGCTATTTTGCGAATATATATTGATCTTAACAATATTAAGGCGTTTGTGGTATAATCCACGGGTGCTTGAGAATGAACTCCAACGGCAGGCAATGGATCGGGTCTTTGATATGGAGTAAATCCCTCGCTTTGATGGAAATATACATCGCAAATTCACGGATCGAATGTAGTTGTATGGGGATGACTAGGTACATTTTATTCTCTTTTTGATTGGTGGAAAGTCATGTTGTACAGTATGACTTTCCACCAATCGAAAAGAGCATAGAATATACCTAGTACTACTATTCATGGGATCCGGTTGCGTGGTGTATCCGGACAAATCCAAGGCATGCGATATCCGGATACTATACCTTGCCACGTAAGTGTAGTTTTCATCTGTCATCTTCACGGAATGATGTCGCTGATGTGGATGGGAGTCGCGACCGTGGTTGCTGCTGCGTGCAGTAGCGTGGCGGAAAGCAGGCAAGTGCAAGTAAACTTAACGACGTCCTTCTTGGCGTCTCCGCTGCATCCTGTGCTGGAAACGTCCGAGTATCTGTCGCAGGACAACCCCGCGTTGTTCTTCACGTACGTCGCGGCAGTAGACGTGCGGTACAATGCGATCAAGGACAAGAACAATGCCAACTACACGAAGGTGGCGCTAGAAGCGGCTGCCGACGTGTTGCCGGCGGACTCGTCCGTGTCACGCTTGCTTCCGTTTGTGTTGCAGACGCGTGCGCACTCGCCTTCCATTGAACTGTTCAACCAGGTAAAGTCCATCATGACCCCTTCCACGCGCTGGCTGAATCAAAACTTCCATATATGTCGATGCGTCTAGTTGGCGATTGAATCTGCGTACAAAGCGTGTCCGAACCAAACCGTGTCGGCATGGGCAATCATCTATCGCGACGCTGGGTGCGCCGACGTCGTGTTGTGCGACATCCAGGACTTCCAACCCTCGATGCTGCACGTCGACGAGGATACCTCGCCTTCTTCGGACGACTCGGAGCGCGTACGAGTCCTCCCTTCTTCCTACCACGTTGTTCCTCACTCTTGATACGCAGACCTGTGCGGCCTCGGGCCAGCACGACTTTCAGCTGCCCGTGGACCACGTGTATCCGTCGCCCAACGCCGCCGCCGCCGCCACCGCGCCGCATGTGATTGTGTACGGCGCATTGATTTCTCCATCGTTCCGAGCATTCCACTCGACGTTCGTTCCGTTGGCCGTCGCGGGGAACGTCCATTACATCGTCCGCCACGCCCCCACCGACAACACGCTACCGGTGCTCGTCCATGGCTACGGGGTGACGCTGCATGTCAAGAACATGGAGTACAAGAGCTTTGACGACTCCAAAGCCACGTCCAGCCACAACAGCACCGCCACCGAAGACGACATCGACGCGGACCAAGGTACTAGTACTCCTCTACTACTACTACTAGTACTACTAAAACGGACGACGCAGACGAGTTTGTTGTGTCGGTGCTGATGAAGAAAAACGACGAAGTGGCGCAGGCGTTGCGCGAGTACCTCGACGGGTTTGAAGGCGGTCAAGGGACCGACGACGACGACGAGGATGCCAAGGATGTGACGACGCCAGCGGTATGACTTGGATGTGGATTTTTGAGGTTCTAGAAATATGATGCATTGGATATGTAGTCATATATATCAAAATTACTACTTTGTTTCCGTGATGATATGAAACTTGTCACCCAAAAAAGTTGCCAATTTGATTGGCAGAAAAGAATATGAAGGTTGCCTTGTGATTGGCTAAAACGAGTTTTAGCAAAATGAATTTCACAACGAAACCTCTTGAACTTGGTTTTGATTGTTTTTCAGAGGTCTGGCGACTGTACAGTGTTTCGATTGGGTGATTCTTGTCCAAATAATATGCAAATACAATGAGGTTCATCTCAACATGTAGTGTCACACGTAATATATATATTTCAGTTCTATTGACCATGGATTCGCTATAACAAAACGATATCAGGATTTATTATTGATTTCGTGCGGCTTTCCGGACCCCGTTCAATCGAATCACGAATCGCTCCCATTGGTCAACCTGAAAATTCTTGTCGCTGATTGGCTACAATAATTTTTCGTTTCACTGTGTGCTTTCTGCAGATTGGAATGAAATTTTGCGGCGAGATTTGTTTTACGCATCGCGCAAAATTGGGAATTATTTGGTAGTAAATTGTTTCTTTTTTTTTCCTAATAAATATATGCAAATTCTTGACGGAATGTTGTAAACTGTAGCCGTGGCAACTGACCCAACTGGGATACTTGGCAACGCAATACATTATGGCGGCAGAAGACCCATTGAAGCGCTTGCAGTTGCTCTCCCAAAACTTCCCCAAATATGCGTCTTCACTCGTCTTGGCGTCCAAGCCCGTGCCCCAACAAACCATCGACGACATCAACCATGCCCGCAGTCAAGTTGCCACCCAAGTAAAAATTCAAATATATATATATATATATTCAAAAAATTGCTGGGTTGCACGGAATATATATATATATATACTGCCTTCTTTTACCAAAATAAAATTGGTTGACTTTTGTGCTGATTTGTCAAATGTATCGATCTATTGTTTGTCCTGACTTTTGTAAAGATCATATCACGCTAGTTCCAGTTTCAATGTTGCCTTGGTCGACGAGTGAATGATTTGATTGGCTACTAGATTCGTGTTTTGTGTTTTGATTGGTCGATTTTCGATTGTCTGCGGATTTGGTGATTCTGCTCATTCGATTCAGCACCCAAACACTCCAAGTTCGAAACGAATATTTGTATGTAAATATGTATACGATTCATTGGCAGTCGTGTATGTATGGGAGAGTTTATGGTCTCATATATGTATTTGATGACTCCATGTTGTTTCGACAAATAAATAGAAGAATCGAATATATATATATTATATATAGACTAATATATCGTGTGTATTATGGATATAGCGCCTCTACAACCGGATTGTCGTGAACGGACTGCCCGTGGACTTCAACGAGTACGGATTCAACGCGTTTGACTTTTTGAAGTCGCTCAATGGCGAGCTCCGATTGGCCGACACGCTGGCCAAGTTGGACCCGACGGGGTCGATCAAAGCTGCGATGGGATCGTTGTCCAGTGCTCCCTCTGACGTAAGCTATCTCGTCCTTTTTATGATCTTTTTAGCGATTTCCGCTCATTTTTGGCGGTTTTCGTTCATTTTTGGCGATTTTCGCTTCATTGTGGATGCTTTGGACTCGTTTTTGGCAAATTGGACTCGTCTTTTGGGTGTTTTGACTCTTTTTTTTGGGGGGGGGTTGGTTAGGTGCGCATCTCGTTGCGGGGACCCGTGGATGGCCACGCGCCGTTGTATTTGAACTCGATTGAAACGGATGAAGAAACGGCCGAGTGGCCCACGGACCTGGGGTCGTTGCGAGGCCCGAGCTGGAGCTTGATTTACTTGCGCAAAGCCATGTACGAGTTGATCTTGGTTGTCGACCCCACGACCAAACAAGGCATTAACGCGATGAACGAGGTATATATATATATATTTATATATAACATGGACGGAATTTGAGTTATAAACTCATCCGACATTATTGTAGCTGATTTTTTTGCGGAATCGTCAAGCGCCAGTTCAGTTTGGGGTGCTGTGGACGTCGCCGGAACTGCTTGCGTTGTCGGCCGAGGTAAGGAAATATTAATATATATATATGAATCCCGTAGATATGGAATATATTTGTTTTGCTCATGATATGTACTTGCCTTCGATTTTGGGTTCCTAACATGGCGGTGATGTGGTAATTTTTATATCCTGTCTGTGTGAACATATATATATATATATACGTACATACATGTCATATGACGTATAAGACCATAGTATGTATTCTATGAGACCATATATGATTGATGTATATGCCCGTCCATATGTGGTGTAAGACCATCGTATGTGTTATACAAGACCATCGATGTGTTATACAAGACCATCGTATGTGTTATATAAAACCATTGTATGTGTTATACAAGACCATAGTATGTGTTATATAAGACCGTTCAACTAGGAAATATATAAATCTCGTTTGTGGACTGATAGGAACGTGCGACGTACGCCCCGAGCGTAGAAGACAAGGATGTTGCGACAGTGTTTCACGTGTCCAAGATGTTTTTGGCGGCCAGAGCCAATGGGAAGAGCGCGAGGGACAAATACTTGCGCGAAGTGCTGAGTCTGAACGACCTGACGGTCAAGGAGGTGCTGCAGATCTATAGCCAGGCAGTGGGCGAGCGCTACACGAACGACGATTGGCTACAGGTAAATAAATGAATGTCCCTTCATTTACGAGTCTTTCATCTATTTTGACGCTGAAGCTTTCATCTATTATTATTTCCACATTTGAACACGACTACTTGGACGAGTACACGGTCTGGACAGACGAGTGGCAATCTGGTTGGGTTGAAGGCATATATATATAGATTGTTTATTTTTGCCTTTTAGGTGGACATATATATATATATATATATATATATATATATATCATCTTTTCTATGGGTGTACGTTTGCATCGTGTAGTGGATGGAATTGGAACGATTTATTGCAATATTCCACATTTTTGGTATCATGGATTGGAGAATACAATATTAATAGATCATGAACAATTTACTTGCATGTTCCATTTATATACTTGATTCGAGAGTACATTGAAATATATATATATAATGCAAATCACGATTTATATTGCATTTGGTAGTTGTGAAGCCATACACGAATTCGATTGGTGCAAAATATTTGTTTCCTGCAACCTGATTGGCTAAATACTTCATCTGTCATATATTTGGTCGTGTCCAGTTGCGTTTAGAAAGTTAGACTATATTTTGCATGTACTGACTGGTACTGGATAGAGTGCCAAAGCCATCTTAACCGATGGGGACAACGACGGCGTGTGGGCCATGACGAACCTCGTCGCAGAGAAAAACCTGCCGATCAACTCGCAAGTGTTCAACGGCGTCGTGCGCAATCATGTGAACGTTCAGGAAGATATTATGACTCATTTTGCAAGGGACCAGCCGCTGTACCAGACCCTGGTGCGAGCCAATCAGATCACAGACGACAGCGATATGCTCAGCGAGTTGCTCGGCAACGAAGAAACGTACGCGGTCTTCTGCCCCTGGTTTGATCCCGAGTATAAACCACCCACGACTGTTGTCCAACTCAACTGGAACGACCCTGTACGTTGTTGTTAGATAATATATATAGTATGCTATTCCATATATATATATATATGAGACTTGTAGGATACTCAAACGATTTATGCCGTGTAAACATATTAGGTGTGGAAGCAAGTTGGATCGTTCCACGCGTCTGGTACTGTGACCAAACCCAAGCGCCAAAACGTATTGCTGGTACCGTACTCGTATATATATATATATTTTTTTTTTTTTTCTCAAGACAAGACGTGTATAGTTGGCCAACTTGGACACTTCGGTTGGCGCCACTAGCGCCTATCACGCGTTGAAGCGAGTGGCAGACTTCCCCGAGCTTCGACTGAGTGTCGTCCACACTGGAAGCCCATTGAAAGACTCGCTGGGCAACCGTATCGCATATATCTTGACTCAACTGGGCCATACTGACTCGACCACCGCCACAGCCGTCGTCCTTGAGGTTCATTCTATCGTGCTAGTTATCCATACACTTGCAACCATCATATATAGTTCATCCTTCTATCTATGGACCTACATATATTTATATACTGTATGTCCTTTGAAACCATCATATGTATGATCGATAGTTTGTACTGCATTTTGTATATAACAAAGGCCAGGATCACACGAATATATATATATATATATATATAAGTCACACACGATGTTGAATGGTCAAAGCGAGCATTTGATTGGTCACTTGATTCAAGTTCTGGGTTTTGATTGGTCGATCGATCATCGTCTGCCGATTGAATCCTGCTCCCAAATTCGAATTGACACTAGTTATCCGTATCTATCGACCTATATATATATACATATATTATTGATCGGTGTGAATATATATATATATATAT